TCCACCTCTACACCTTATACTTATACTTTCATCGTACTCACCCTTCACCCACCTTAATTGACCTTTGACACACCTCCACCTCTACTCCTTATACTTCTACTTTCATCGTACCTTGTTATCTTTTTCACTCCTCTTATAATGACTTGCCCTATGTACGTTTACCTCAACCTTCATCTTTCATTTAATTCACTCAAACCTAGCTGAAATTCTAGCTGAATCTCTTTTCTTTCTATATCTCCATTACGCCAGTCCACTAGCCATATTACTTGATCAGTTTTTTTCTGCCTTTTTTATCATCCGTTATTGCATTCATCTTTCTTTGTTCGTTCATCAATGGTGTATCTATATCACAGCTTTTCATTTCTATACTATTAAATATTTTCATTAAATCAAATTGTTGTTAAATTAAATTATTAAATATTATTACTATTCAATATTACTTATTATCAATATTGTTAACTATTAATGATTTATAGCCAGTAACTAAATGCTAGCATTACTTCCAATTTGTTCCTAACACATTGAGTTGATTAAATTTCAATAAGATCTATAAAATTTGCCTAACTGTAGACTTGTAAAAATCATGTAAAATTCCCTTAAGATAGTAGAAAAATCCTCTTTTCTAGATGAACTGTAAGTTGAAAGAAAAACGCGGGAATCTTTTCCCTCGATGCGCATTGGTCGAAAATATACTTAGATTCCTAGCAAATTTCATTCCGAGGAGGTCTGGACACTAATCCAATATGGCGGCCGAACTGAACGAAGTTTGTGTAAAAAATGAGTGATTCAGCTACAAAATGGAAAAAATTATGGCAATAATCGCTATTTCGTTAGGAAAGAAAGCCACAGTTTATGCTGTAGGAAGAGTAAGTTTTAATTCGTATTGATTTATTGATGCGATTGCGGTGAAAATCGCGAAAATACTCCAAGATGACGCAAGAGATGTAGCTTGTGTCACACGTGTTTTCGAGAATAACTTGTACTTTTTTACGTAAGATCTTATATTATTTCTCGATCTCTTCGTGTCCAGTTGTCTATTGATCACACTACTTTATTCTACATTTAATCTGACTTATGTATGTGCAAAATTGTGCTTGTTAAATGGTTGAGTTCAAGTATTTTCGTATTTGATTGTGGCTTGTGATTGAGCTAAATATATTCTGCATGTATGCATTACGAGCGTGTTATTCACAAATTTAACGCCAATCTATATCGTATAATGTTTCCGGGGTAATAAATTCCGCCTTATTTCTTTTAGCATGTTGTTTGTAAATACAAACGTGAGACCAACTGCTGATATTCCCTGCACAATCCTTTCTACATATGCTGATCTCTACACACAGCACGTATATTCGACTTTAACGTTGATAATCATTAATTAGCAATTATGAAATAACTGAGGCATACTCGATGTGGCATACACTTAACATATGAAATAACTGTTTTGAATTGTGTGTTCTGTTTTAATGAGGTGCATGCTGCAGGAGAACACACATGTACACACACACACTTTTTGTAAGAGTGAGTGTACCTTGCCCGTGAAAGAATAGACAACGTAATACATAGTAGTAGTAGACAATAATTCTATTGTTTTCTTTTGTTTTACTTTGACTGTTACTACCTAATTATGCAACTTTTTTTCACGGGCCAAATAAAATCACTTTAAATGATTAGTACCTGAAGAAATGATTAGTCTAATTTGTATTTTATAAAAGAAATCAAGAACTTGCTTGCTGTGTGTGTGCAGTTATAAAGCACTTGAGGATTGGCAGAGCACTTGAAAAGTGTTGAGAACATGCTATATGTTATGCTTTTTACTGGGATACCTGTGGCATCACAGTCGTAAAATGCCTTTGTCTTAGTAACAGTTCTTTCATCTCTGCGTGCTTTATAACCGCACACAAAACTATCATATCTTCTATTTCATTAAAAATAATCCCTGACCTTCATTTAAATGTTTGTTCTTCTTCTAGTATTATGGTTTCCCAAGGTTGTACAGACGACTAGTAGAATTTAACAGACGTGTCTGTGCTGATAGACAAGTTATGAGAAGACGACAAGAAATTGTAAAAAATATTTTTAGGTTTCCAAATAAAATAATTGCACTATTCAGGTAAGAACTTGTGTTACCACTGTTTTCATTGCTACATGTTAATCAAGACATGGTTGTGGTACGAAAATCAGGCAGTATACTACTGTCAATCAAATATATTGTTTCCATTTACTTTCTCATGGTTCCAGTGCCCTTCTTACTAATCTTTTAAAAACCATTTATTTTTCAGACAGAAAAAGAAAACTACATGACATTAGGACCTCAACACTGCAAGACCTAAACATTGTTACCAGTGAAACTTTATATTCAAAACTAATAGTGTAAAATAATAATGGTGAAGAATAGTATGGACATGAAAAAAACAGTTCCTAACCATTATGTCACAATTAAGGGAAAATTAGTTCTCATTTGTGTGGGATGTTTTTTGGGTGTAAGTGAATTTTATATTATTTATCCTAAAATGATTGTACAATTTAAAACAATATATTGCAAAGAAAATCCTGTGATTTCTATATTTTAAATTTAATTTTGATAACAGAAAACACTTCCACTTCAGTCACAAAGTTCTAAGCTACTGTATTGCTGGAATGAATTGAAAATGCAGTATTTATTTTAAGATTTCAACAGGGCTTTCAGAATGTTTTGGAGTAATCTTAAGTCTGAATTAGCTGGCTGTGATCAGATAGATTAATGATAATTTTTTTATACAAAAGAAAAAGTAGTCTGCAGTTAACTTTGAAGCAACTGCTGGAGCTCCGACAGCCACCAGCTTATTATGAAAGCCCTGTTCAAGATAAATCATAAAATTTAAAAATCAGTGCAAAATATATGTTAGGCTACCTGTGGTATGAGTTGAGCTCAGTAAAAGACTAGTGACTTGGAAGAACTTGTGAACTATGTGAACTTCAAGCTTTAGGATACAAGGAATTTTAGAACTAAAATTTCTTCAAGAGAATCAAAGACTAAAAAGAAAACAGTCTGATCTGCCATTGAACTGCTTGTATCAACTTATAATGTGAAATGATAATATATTTATTGATTTAATAAAAATAGTGACTTCAATTTACTAAGATATAAAATTTAGGTTGATATTTACTCTTTTTTTTTTAACTACTTACCTTATTTCAATCATCTTCTGCATGTTTTCCAGTATAACACTTGATCTAAAGTGATTTGTACTACTTTGCCTGGTACCACAGTCTTATTGATGTAAAATCAAACTCTTAGGGGAGGGGGTGCACAGCCATGTGTATGCCAAATCTGACCCAGGGGGTAGGGGTGCAAAATAATATTTATATAATAAACATATTGTTATCCATTAGGGCAGGGTGTTCCTTAATAATATTATTACAAACCCTTGCCCTTTAGAAATGGATGCTGAATCACTAAAAAATAAGAATTGAATTAAAATCGGTTTAAATATACATCTTATTTATTTATGCTTTTATTTTAATGAAAAAATTATTGTATTTATTTTAAATACAATGTTTGAACAATATTTACTTTTTATGACGATTTCAAGTAAAGATGAGATTTGAAGATGATTAATTCATTAGCACTAAATAAAGATATCCCATCCCATTTCCCTTCCTTTTACCTTGTCTTTTAACTTACTTTAATATACTAATTTAACCTTTAATATACTAATTTAACCATAGTAGAGTGCAAACAATACTAAATAGCACAATTTCATGCAAAATCCATTGTTTTCTATTGTTTAACTAGCACTATTTTGTACTATTTAGTAATTAGTGTTTCGCGGATTAATTGTTTGCACTCTACAAACAATAAAAGTGTGCAATCTAAATAGTACTAAATAATGTTCAATTCTGCTTAATTAATACTAGTTAAATTATGTCTTATTAGTACTAGTGCTAAATTATAGTACAAAGTATTGCAGGACTTTAGTGTTTATACTCTAAATCCTATCTCATCCTATTTCTTTTCCTTATATCTTGTCATATTTTGTTCCCTTTACCCATTTTCTTTTCCTCTGCACTCTTCGTTTTCTTTGCCTACATCTTAGCAGATTTTTGGTTAATTCATTTTTGCAATTATGTAGTTTCTTACAAACTACAAAATAAATAAATAAATATTTTTAACAGACAGCTTATAAGATTATGTAACTCTTATTGTCACATGACATGCTGCATATCTGGCTTGGCGTTACTTATCCTTATCACTGAATAAGGCAGAGTCTAGACCCTTCTTTACCATTAGCCGTGGTAGGTTTTTGTAGTGCTTTTAATGTCTTTTTCTTGAAAAGCTTTGCTTCCCCTGCAAGGATGAAGGACATTTAAGAGTCTATTTCTGCTGGAGTTTATTAAAGGCAGTCAACATGGGGTTCCTGTGGGTTGTGGGTCAAGGGACTGGTACACTGAAGGTAAAGAAGATGCAAAATAGAACCCCTTCCCTCACAAAAACGTTTTCCAAAACCTATAGATATGGCGAGAAAGTCTAAAGATGAAACAGGCACGCATGTAGGAAAATGATGCATTACTCCCCATGCATGGCCGAGTCCTTGCTACACCACTAGCAGCAGTAAGGCGGACACGCGGAGCGCCGGCATTACTAAAAAAAAATACAAAGAAATGTATGGGGTGACGAGGCCCTACAGGGGGTCTTGCGTGGCCGGGTGGCATTGCGAACAGGGCCTTACTGCTGCTATGCCGGGCATGGTAAATGAAGGTTAAGATATTCCTTACATATAGATGGATGCAATCAAGAGCATACGCAACAAGACTGTTCGTAAGCTGAGAACTAAGGTATTGGACCGCTTAGACGCCGATTTCGCCTTCACAACTTTTATGGAGGGAGATACAGATGAAACAATGAGCGAAGAAAGAGCAGAGAAGATTATTGAATTGATGCCTGAAGGTAACTACCGTTTGGAGCTGACTTTCATAAAGTACCTAGATGGCGAATGGATAATTGAAAAAGGTCGTAATCCCATTAGGGCGTCTGGTAAACAATCCTTGTTTGTGTTAAATGAGCACACGCGACCGGGGGCACTCGTAGGTATTGACATGATGTTCTATGAAGTTGCTTACCCAGTTACTGTAGTTATTTATGGTGCATATGAAATTAAGAAGCCAGACGTTAGGAAACTCAAACCAATGCGACATCCAGGTAACTGCGTTGCGAAGTTAGTAAGGGAGTTCTTTGAGGATTCCACSCGGGGTGGTAAGTTAACTTTAAAGAGAMGAGAAGCCATAAGGAAATGGGAAAAGGACACACACAAAGCCGGAGCCACCATAGACAACATTAAGAAGTTGGAGACCGCCTTAGAACGCCGCATACATGTGAAAGACATCACTGACGGGTTCATTTACCCAGGTACGCACAAATACGGGGGCAGAGGTGCTCCCATAATCATTTACCAACACAACGGACATGCTTGGAGAGAACTTAGGTTCCCCAGGAAGAAGGAAATTAAGGTCTACAAGACTTCGCCGTTGGTAGAATTGGTCAAAGAAAGCTCTGTTTGGTTGATGGACGCGGAAGGGAGTCAGTTTATGACGCAGGATGGTACTCTTTACCGCCATGAAGTCGAACAACGGTGCATTCAAGATGCCTGCGAAACTCTAGGAGAAGACTTCTCAGACGAAGTCCTTAGTAGTCGCAGTTTGGATTTCTTAGCAGCAAAGAAGAGGAATGGGTGGAAGTCCACACCTAAGGAATTCGCTGACATATCCAAAGCCTGTGTAGAGCATGGTCATGGAGGTCTGTGGAACATGGAGTATGACGAAAACGAATACGTCTCCTTAGACATGAAACACTGTTACCCCGCAAGTTTTAAAGGATTGGGGGATTGTAAGAAGTATTATGACCGGTATGGACATCCAGACTCACAGTTCTTTCGTGTGTCTTTAGATGGCAGCTATGACGCTCCAGCTACGGGGTTCGTAAGGTTGACCTCGTGGGAGTTAGCAGAGGGCTTACATCCCATAATCTACGCGTGGTACGGTAAGCATTTACAGGAGAAGGAATGGATGCCGGTGCCGTTGTTAAAGTTCTTCGAAGAGAATGGACTTATGACGTACACAGCCCATGAAGCCATACTTTGCCACAGCGCCTTCACACAATGGTTGCCGGAGCACAACCCTACCGCACGCGTGGTCATAGGAAAGTTCACACAGGGTGCTAAGGAGGGCGAAAAACATATGCAGCGCCGTTTGATAACAGATGACGGCGAACTAAGCTTCCTAGTCCAACGTGCGCACRAAGATGGAACCATGGTGTCTGTGGAGAAGTGGGAACACTTTGTAGAAGCAGAGAAAAAGGCATACAAATGGAATGCTTTGTGTTACTACCAGGATCACAGGCCGCAATATTACCATTTGCGTGCAAGTATGCTTGCCTACGCGCATATTAACCTCTTAGCGATGCTTTTGAGGTTTGACAAAGAGGACGTTCCGCGTGTAGCTACGGATTCCTTATACGTGCGCCCGGAAGTGTTAGAAAAGATGCAGGAGTTCTACACTGACGACGAATTGGCTGAAAGTGGTCAATGGCGCGTTAAAGATGAAGAGATCAAGGCGTGGAGAGAACGAGTAGAATATCATGGTGAACACACGAAGGGTTCAGTAACGCCTACTAGAGAGGTTCTGCCTTTGGTTGATGACCCCATTTCTTACAAGCGCTTTTCTTACCTACATGGTACGGGAGGTAGTGGTAAGACTACCAGGGTTTTGCAGTTGTTTCCCAAGATAAAGGTGTTAACGCCGACACATCGCCTGGAAAGGGAACTATGCAGCCAGGGTTACGACGCACAAACTTATCACAGCTTCTTCCGTTGGAATGGACAGAAGTGGGTGCCTGAAGCCATTCACGACATACCGTCGGTGATACTTTGGGACGAAATCTGTACCGTGCCCTTAGAGATACTCAAGGAGTTCGTAGAGTTCCTAAGGGGGAAGTGTCAGGTAATATTCGCCGGCGATCCCTGCCAACCACCTCCAATAGCTGGAGAAATGCCCCACGAGTGGTTGAAAGGAATAGTAGACCACGTGGAAGAAATCAACACGGATTACCGTAGTAAGGATCAAATACGTAAGTTGAAGACAGAACTACGGGGCCTTAGCGACGCCGACCAATGTAAGACGTTACGCAAACGTGTGCGGGCGAAGAAGTATGAAGAATTCCTACTCGCATGGCATCCTAAAGATTTGGTGTTGAGCAGTAAACGTGCCGCACAGTCCCGAATACAAAAGGATTTGTTGCAGGTACACAGAGAACGCTTTCCTAATCACTTGGTGCCCGTTTCTTACAAGCCCCACGACACTCGCATGCAAAAGAGGGACGTCTGGGTACCTGGTACTGACATTCAACTACGGAACGCAGTAACCCACGACAAAGCCTGGGTGCCCATGGGAAAGGTGGAAAAAATAACGTCCCACCCCGATTGGCGGTTGGGTTATTGTATGACGGTCCATAGCGCGCAGGGACTCACCATAAAGGAAACCTTATGGGTCATAGACCAGCGGCTGTGTTGGAGTAATTTGATATACACCGCAGTGAGTCGCGTGGAGTATGCCAAGCAGTTGAAGAGAAGTTGGGGGCCGCAGTTGCGTTACGACCACACTACAGAAGACGTAGCTAAGGAGAACGTTGCTAAGAAGCTCCTCCGTTACAAGCGACACGACAGAGAAAAAAATATGACGTTCGACCTGTGTGTGGACGACGTCTACAAGAAAGGTGCAAGGTGTGCTAAGTGTAACATACCTTTGTTGTGGAGGTTTGACCCGGATGACGATCAGCAGTTCTCTGTAGATCGCATCAACAACAAGCGTGGCCATTGTAGGGGCAACGTTAGGTTGACCTGCCTGGAATG